GTTCCAAATATACCCTTAATAGTAAAACAAATACCATAATATCTTTTATCAAAGTCTGTCACGTTAGAATGCTCGTCTCTATAAATAATTAATAGAGACGGTCCAAGACAAACACTTTTAAAATCATTTTTATAGTAGTATGTCCGGCAGTTGGCGACGTCTATAGAACCCTAAAACCCTGGACACTAGCTAATCCCTATGCTACAATAGATTGAAAGCTGGCCTTATGACTGGGCGTTTGGTAGAGTTTTAGATTCTTGTAGGAGTGTTTCAAATCCAGATTCTCTAAAGAAATGTTTCAAGTGGTGAATTAGAATCACTTTGTTATAGCGTTTGGCTGTTAAGCTGGATCCTGTTTCCTAAATAAATATTTTTCTATAAAAAATTATATAAAATAAAAATATGCTTCACAAAGTCTTGTTTTTTAATGGGCAAATAACAACCTAAATGGAACCCATTTAAAATGGTTGCACTTAAAAAGGATAAGGGAAAAAAAACAATCGCTATTGCATATGAGGGAGAGTAGAAACAGAATCAGCGAAACCAGCCTGCTCTCGTTTCTCTCCCGCGGGAGGAAAAACGAGTGGGAGAAACGTTTCGCACTTTCGCGGCCGGACTGTTTGGCGCTGATTATTCTTCCGATTCAAGTGAGAAACTGAATCGTTTCTCCTATCCAAACGAGCCCTAAATCTCGATCAAGTGCTAACATCATCTGCTATACTGAACAAATTCACGATTTCGATGGCATGGGGGTTTAGGACATGAGCATATAATAACGTACAAATAACTGAAGTATCATAAGCGGACCATAAAACTGAAGAATGTGGCCATATGTTGTCCTCTCAACCACACAAAAAAACAAATGTTTACAAATGCTACTTTTGTCTCATAATGCAAGCTAGTGACGGTCTTGACTGACTTACCTTCTCAGGTCTTACATTGACGTGATAGCCCACTGGCGATAAGGAATTTTTGTAGAAAAAATTGACGTGGGGGGACCTTGCTATATGGTCAAGTTGAAAACGAGTCCTCAATCGGCCATAGGGTAAGGTATTATTAAGGTAGAAGATGACTAGAAGTGCACGCTATCTACTGTTCGCAAGTCTTTCGTTGGGTTTCAAGTGCATTCTCCTTACGTGGCCACTCATCATTCGATCGATAGGACGACGACATGCATCAATGCATGCGCATGCGCTCCAATAATTTCAGAGGAGAGAGCTATCAGCGAGAGAATGGAGGCTGTCAGCAAAAGGAAGCTGATGAGCATGCTTGTCTGTCTCTTTCTAGTACGAAAAGAGTGGATCTCTGCCACCAACTGTCAAATAATGCTTCATATACAGATATACGTGACAGTACTCTGAGAAAAAGGCAGCACAAATAAAGATGTGCTAGCTTTCTCATCTCGAACGCTCCTTCCACGCACATCGCACACTTTTTTGTTTGATCCAGTGCTCTGTGCCCTGCATGGGCGCGCCACCAGCATATCACGCAATTCTTACTCCCTCCGTCTATCGAGAAAAAAACACAATTTAGCTTGAACTTGGACACGAAGAATTGAGTACGTGCGTGTGCGCCGCTGTAACATGGCAGGCATGCATGCATGCATGCACACGGACGGCGGCTACATGCATGCATGCGACAACCGTCGTTGCATTGGGTACCACGCACGAAGATATCACACGCTGCACGCGCGCATGTGACTAGTACCGCGGCCCGCTGAAAAACAAGTCGAAACCCTGTTTTAGCTAATTTATTGTGAGAGAAAAATACTACTTTAACTAAAAAATAAGCTGAAAAATACGGATTATAACACAAACGAACATGCCATATGTGTGAGCGAGCAGTTGTGTGCACTGTGTAGCTGCAGCAGCAGCTCCGTTGCCGGCTGCATATGCATGCCACAGTCCACACACGCGTGACGCGGCACCATCGACAAACAAAGCAGCAAGCCGACAGACGACCGTACCTAACCCACCATGCTTCTGATCTGCGTCCTCGTCGTCCACGTCCACCGGTGACCACCCGTCCGTCGGTCCGTGTCAGGTGTATCGCGCGCGGTGATACGTACCAGTGTGTTTGCTAGATACAGTAAAAAAAGTGAAGCTTGAGAAAGCGTAACATTTAAGTATACACGCCGACCGAGACGACGACTCTGTCACGACGCGCCGTTCTCCCGATCGAGCTATAGCTTCAGACGACGTGCGGTGCGGTGGAACCCACGCTAAATGAGTCGAAACACGTCGCGGTCGGTGCCGATCAGCGTTTCGTCGCCGGGCGTAAACGGGATCGATCGATCGCGACGCCGGGATGGAGCGCCCGCGCGCGACGACGCGACGGCCGGTCCAGAGCAGAGAGCCGACAAGAAACACGAACTAAGCAGTGACATCCACTGGCGGAGCCAGGGGGGGGCTGGCAGGGGCCATGGCCCCCCCCCCAATGTTTGACAACAAAAAAAATTAGTAGTATAACTTAATATTTTTTATTTATATTAAGAGAAAGATTATATAAAATTCTTGTCATATATACCTATTAATATCTTCTAGATAATATAATCATACAAAACACAACTAGATAATAAAATTATCGCAATGAAAAAGACCGAGCCGGCCCCCCCTAAGTATAATTCCTGACGACCGGCCCCCCCTGACTATAAATCCTGGCTCCGCCACTGATGACATCACCAGCGTAGCCTAGCTAAGCTCTACGTGTTCACCTGCACACATAGTATATTCTAGTAGTAGTATAATCTAGACCAAAGTGCAGACGGTCACGACGCAATAGCAGCAAAGCAAGGCCGCCAACTGCATGCTTTTAATTAAAGCTGCGGCATCGCCGTCTGCCTCTTTCAAGCATCGCACTGTCACGCACACCTCACCTAATCCACAGCCCTTTTCTCTTGTCTTGTCCATCTCAACTAATTCCTCAACACATCATCCACCAGCACACCAGTTATTTATTTTACTTTGGCACGACGACAGACGACTCTGCGTCTGCGAGGATTTCGTGATTTTCTATCGATCCGCCGGTCCGGTGTTCGGTGACGACCGTCGATTCGACGCGCAGATGTGCTTGGGCCGGATACGTCGCTGCTGGCCTCAGTCTGTCCATCGACTCAGGTCTCGTTTCATTCCTTAGGCCACCCCCAACGCTCCATGCTGGATGTTGGCTTCGTCAGGCCCCGTGGGATCGAATGAGAAAAGGAAAGAGGATGGTGGCCTCGCAGAGCCTGCTAGCATCCTGCAGAGGATACATATGTTATCTGACAAAATTCAGAAGCAACAACAAGAGAATGCGACGGGAGGAAGAGGAGTGATCCCAATATTTGCTTTTCATGTGATAAAGCTGAAAAGGTTCTAAAGAGAGAGGGAGAGCTGTGTCAGACCGACAGTATAGCCTGCGATGGTATGAGATTGGGAGGTGGTGGCTTCAGTCACTCCACTCCACGTGTAGGCTAGCTTTTTAGGCTATCCGCACTCGTCAATCTCTATTCCTATACTTTAAAAGAAATATTTTATCCTAGTCATCGACTCTCTCTACTCTATATCCATTTCTTCCGCACCCATATTATCTCTATTCCTACTTCTATACACACTATTTATATTTTATTCCCCTCCCTCCCCCTTTCTCTCTCTCACCAACTCTCTCTCTCTCTGCTACAGTGTTTAGCGTGCTGTGCGGCTGGTACGCTGGAAATAACGGTGGGCAGGCGCGCGCACGTGCTACAGAGCTGTTTACAGGCGCACGGTGTGAGCGCACGGTATGCCACCGCGTGCTGCAGGACTGTTTAGCGGTGCTCGGTGCAGATATCCTTACTGAGGCTAATGAGGGTAGCTGCCTGCGCTGGCATCTACTACTGCAATAAAGCAGATCAAATATTGATTCAGCACAAAAGAAGTGGATCGCTTCTTGCGACGATGATGCCACCACATGTCAAGCCAAGTCATGCGCTTGTGGGGTAAATTAAAGAATGATGCTTTTAATAAAGAATGATGATGCTTCCGTAGTTCCGTGCCCGGGCTTTCCACCGTGCGTAAAATTAATTAATTGCCGTCTTTGTGCGTGAACACGATCGACCGGTATTTTACGTGCGTGCTTGACTGAGCCTGACCGAAATGAATCATTGATGCAATGATGGGGAGTATATTGGTTGCCTTTCCGTTTCCGGAGCAGGAAGTCCGTACGTGCGCCCCCGATTTCTCGTCCCAATGGCTCCATGCTCTTGTCCGCCTGCTGCCAAGTCGCGGCGATGGCTACAAGTGCGCAATGTTATTGCGTGATTCTACTTCGGCCACCTGTGCCTCTGTGCCTTCGTAGGAAGTGGATGATAGTTTGAAAAGGTACTATGCTTTGATTTTGAATGTTTGGGGCTAGGATATACTGTCTGGCTGGAACACAAGAATTTCATCGAAACCAACTCATTTCCACAGAAAAAAAACACAAAAACATAAAAAAATACTACCTTTCCAAGGGGTTTTACACATTGCCTGTCAGGCCTCAAACCACAGTCCCTTAATATACTCTAGCAAATAGTAGTAATAAACACGGTCGATATTACACTGATAAAATTAGCAAAAGAAATCATTGCATTTGCAGAACTACTGATCGTACACAACAAATGCGCAATATATTCAACTCAGAGCTAGTGTAAAAAAAACAACTTACAGGAAATACTACTGCCAAGCGCATATACAAATGTAATGTAACAGCTGGTAGGGCCGGGGTGTTCTTTTTTCCACAGGTGGTGCCGGGCCGGGCGCGTCCGGTGAAATAAAAACTGCATATTCGGGATCTGCGGGCACCGCACCGGCGGCACCGCACCATGAGTCCATGAGACGCCAAAAGCGCAACTATCAGGGGTGTCTCCGTCTCTGTCATGCACCTCCAGTCTCCGCCTCTCCACTATATCATCGTCACCAGTTCACCACCACCACCTCTCTCTCACACTTCCTCCAATTCCCTCCCCACCCCCCCCCCCCCTCTTCTGTCTCATTGGCGAAACGATGGAGAGAGTGAGCCTGCACTACTCGCCTGCTCTCGCGGGGATTCTTCCCAAGAGGGTGCAACAGCTGTTGATCCAGGGGGGCTTCCTCGATAACCCGTCAGGTAAGGCTTCGTTAGATCAATCCCGACCTGCTGCGCACCTTCAGTGCATGCAGACGTCGCCTGAATCCGCTCCGCTCCGGTTCTCCCCAGACATATGTATCCATGACTCCATGCGTCAGTTTGCCCAGCTTTCTTTTCCCTCCTGCTTCCTTCGTTCTGCAAGGTTTGCGAAAACCATCAGGGGAATGGAAACAAATGGCGCTGAAGAATGCGCATAACTAAAAACCGTGTCACAGTATTAGTAGCCAATGAACAAAACGTGGTTCATATGTGTGATAGCTCTATGGACTTTGTGATAGCTATTTGCATAACAGAAGGCTGAAAATTAACTTTAGAAGCTGTAAAATCGGCCCTTCATTCCAAACATGTTTTTAAGTAACATATCAAATGGGATGGGAACGACAGTCAAGTCATGAGCTGTGCTTAGCTTTCCACTGCATCTGACTAGCGTCACTCTCTCTCTATCACTAGGAGGAGTTAAGGACATAACTTCTTCTATAGTCTCAGATAACACTGCAAGATACCGTAGCTGCAAAAAATTAGTGAAAGAGCGAGTGAAATCAGAGAATGTTTCTGTCAGCACATGATGCTACTAGCTATAGCAATATATATCATTCTAACTCAAGTCTGACAAATATTAGTAGTTAGCCAGTTTTGGTTCATTGGAGCAAACCTTCAGGTAAGGGAAAACGCCAATGTGAAAGATTTGAGCACTTGTGGTCCATGTCACTACTTTAAAAGGCGGCAGGTAATTAAGGACGAAAGTTCCCAAAAAAAAAAGCTGAAAAAAAGTATTGTCCAATCATTCTTGACAGGAGTAAAAAACAGAATGAACCTGTAATCCTGGTGTGACCAAATCTTATCCTACAACAAATTATTGCTTCAAGTAGCAAATAAAAAAGATTTGTAACATGGTGCTTCTAAAACAACAAAAACAGAAAACCTTAACTCAAATAACAGATGAGTAGTCCAACTCAAAGATGAACTCCGCCCCAAACATGATGATAATGATTCGTGTTAATTGTCCTTTTTCCTGACAGTTAACATGCTAGGTCAACTTCCCCATGGTTATGGTTAGCAGCTTATCTATAATTTTAAATAATGCTCGGAAGAAATAGTAAAGTTCAGTCCTCACAAGAACATGTTTGTTTCTACTTTTCTTGAGTATCGATGACATAATTGTAGCTACTAGATCCTATGTTTCCACAAGAGAAAATTGATTCCTCAAGAATGTATTCCTCCATTGGTTTTTGACATGAAATTTGCAACCTATTATTACAGATTCTACTATATTGCACCATATGCAAGAATGGCAAGAGCTATACTCACCTTGCTTCTGGATGGGCACTTTTGCACTGATACAATTGATATTCATCATGAGTATATTGGCTCAATTTCTGTTCAAGAAATTCAGATGGTGGAGACAGAGACTAAAGGCTTCAGCTCCTGAAAGCAATAAACAACATCAGGAACACAAGATTACAGATATAAAGCTGGGTATCTCGTATAAAGCATGCAAAGCTTGTTGCCTGCTTATACTAGGCAGTCATGTTCTGAGGGCAGTATTTCTACAGTTACATGAAAGAATAAGTGATTGCAAGTATCCACCCTTTATTTTTTGTGAAGGTTTGCAGGTGCTATCGTGGATAATATTGTCAATACTAGTATTCAGTTTCCAGAAAACAAAATCTGCAAAACTTCCAATGGTAATTCGGTCCTGGTGGATATTTAGCTTTCTACAATCCGCTACAACTGTTGTAATTGAGCTCAGGTCAATTTTGGCAACCCATGACGATATAGGATTTGAAGAATGGATTGATCTGTTCATGCTTGTTGTTTGCACTTACCTGTTTGCAGTTTCAGCCAGAGGGAAAACAGGAATCACATTGACAGACAGCAGCGTAACAGAGCCACTATTGAATCCATCTGTGGGACAGCAGGCAGAAGCCAAACGGCCATGTCCATATGGAAGAGCAAATATTCTTGAACTTGTCACCTTCTCCTGGATGAACCCTGTGTTTTCTATTGGATATAAGAAACCTCTAGAGAAGAATGAGGTGCCAGATGTTGATGGCAAAGATGCTGCTGAGTTTCTGTCTGATTCATTTAAAAAGATCATAGATGATGTTGAACGCAGGCATGGCTTAAGTACTTCATCGATCTATAGAGCAATGTTTCTATTAATAAGACGGAAAGCAATGATCAATGCAGGATTTGCAGTTTTAAGTGCCAGCGCATCCTATGTCGGACCCTCACTGATTAATGATTTGGTGAAATTCCTTGGAGGAGAGAGGCAATATGGACTCAAAAGAGGTTATATTCTCGCTGCTGCTTTTCTAAGTGCCAAAGTTGTGGAGACCATAGCACAGAGGCAGTGGATTTTTGGAGCTCGACAGCTTGGGATGCGGCTGCGAGCTGCTTTGATATCCCACATCTATCAAAAGGGCCTTCGCTTATCCTGCAGTTCAAGGCAGAAGCATACTAGTGGAGAAATCATAAACTACATGAGTGTAGATATTCAAAGGATAACTGATGTTATATGGTATACAAACTACATCTGGATGCTACCCATTCAGCTTTCTTTAGCTGTCTATGTCCTCCATACAAACTTAGGGGTCGGGGCCTGGGCTGGTTTAGCAGCGACATTGGCAATAATGACTTGCAATATTCCACTAACCAGAATGCAAAAGAGGTTGCAAGCCAAGATCATGGTTGCCAAAGACAACAGAATGAAGGCAACAACGGAAGTTCTTAGAAGCATGAAAATACTGAAACTTCAAGCATGGGATATGAAGTACCTTCAGAAGCTAGAAACTTTACGAGACGAGGAGTACAATTGGCTATGGAGATCTGTGAGGCTGTCGGCTCTAACAACATTCATATTTTGGGGGTCACCTGCATTCATTTCCTCCATAACATTTGGCTCATGTATACTGATGGGGATTCCTCTTACAGCTGGAACTGTTTTGTCAGCTCTTGCGACATTCCGCATGCTACAAGATCCAATTTTCACACTTCCTGACTTACTTTCAGTGTTTGCTCAGGGAAAAGTTTCAGCTGATAGAGTGGCAAAATACCTTGAGGAAGAAGAATTGAATTGTGATGCAGTTACACAAGTACCGAGAAACGACACAGACTATGATGTGGAGATTGATCATGGAATATTCAGCTGGGAATTTGAGACTACTTCTCCAACTCTGACAGATGTAGAGTTAAAGGTAAAGAGAGGGATGAAAGTGGCTATCTGTGGAATGGTCGGTTCTGGAAAATCCAGTCTATTATCATGCATACTTGGGGAGATGCCAAAGCTAGATGGGACTGTCAGGGTCAGTGGCCGCAAAGCATATGTTCCTCAAACTGCCTGGATCCTGTCTGGGAACATAAGGGAAAACATTCTGTTTGGAAACACACATGACAAGGAAAAGTATGAAAAAATCATACAAGCATGTGCGCTGACAAAAGATCTTGAGTTGTTTGCAAATGGTGATTTGACTGAGATTGGTGAAAGGGGAATTAACATGAGTGGTGGACAGAAACAGCGAATTCAGATTGCAAGGTCAGTGTATGAGGATGCAGATATTTACCTCTTTGATGATCCTTTCAGTGCAGTAGATGCCCATACAGGAAGCCAGCTTTTCAAGGTTCGTTTAAATGCACAAATACATTCAACTTTGTAATTGTAATGTGAGTTATTTGACCGTTTGAGGCTCATTGTTGATTCAGAAGAGAGAAAAAATAATTTGTTCATATCCTAATCAAATAAAATAATTTCATTCTACAGGATTGTGTAATGGGAATTCTTAAAGATAAAACAGTGTTGTATGTGACCCACCAAGTCGAATTCCTTCCTGCCGCAGACCTTATACTGGTAAGTGTCGAAAAATACTTTGGTTTAACCCATCGTGTCCATATTCCAAAGAACTAACCATTTGAATTCAAATTAACAGGTGATGCAAGATGGTAAAATCGTGCAGAAAGGGAAATTCAATGAACTTCTTCAACAAAACATAGGGTTTGAAGCTATAGTAGGTGCGCATAGCCAGGCTCTTGAATCTGTTATAAATGCTGAGAGTTCCAGCAGAATACCGTCAGACAACCAAAAATCAGCAGACAGTGAAGATGAGTTCGATACAGAAAATGAAACAGATGACCAACTTCAGGGCATAACAAAACAAGAGTCTGCACATGATGTCTCGCAAGACATCAGTGACAAGGGGAGGATAACACAAGAAGAAGAACGGGAAAAGGGAGGCATTGGCAAGAAGGTTTACTGGGCCTACCTGAGGGCAGTTCATGGTGGAGCCTTAGTGCCAGTAACAATAGCTGCACAATCATTCTTTCAAATATTTCAGGTAGCCAGCAACTATTGGATGGCATGGGCATCACCTCCTACAACTTCAACCACTCCAACCGTTGGATTAGGCCTCCTCTTCTCTGTATACATAGCACTATCTATCGGAAGTGCCCTGTGTGTCTTGACTCGGTCCTTGCTTGTGTCACTGATTGGTCTACTAACATCAGAAAAGTTCTTCAAGAACATGCTCCACTGCATTCTGCGTGCCCCAATGTCCTTCTTTGATTCCACACCTACTGGTAGAATTTTGAACAGGGTTAGTGCTTATTTAACTTTATGACCATTCTCATCATCTGTCACATGCTTACACACCATTAAACTAACTATTATTTTTTGCATGGAACAGGCCTCTAATGACCAAAGTGTTCTAGATCTGGAAATAGCAAACAAGCTAGGCTGGTGTGTGTTTTCAATCATACAAATTCTGGGGACCATTGGTGTTATGTCACAAGTGGCATGGCCAGTTTTTGCTATCTTTGTTCCAGTGACGGTGGTCTGTTTCCTGTGTCAAGTATGAACTCTTAAAAACGACCTTCTGTTTATAATTATCCCTTTCCTATTACTTTTTTGCACTGTGAATTCCAGGAAGATTCACTAGCAGATTCCTTTATTTGATGGTACCCATTTCATAAAATGCTGAACGTGTTCATGTTTTGTATGTGTGCAGCGTTACTACATACCAACAGCGAGAGAGTTGGCTCGTTTATCGCAAATTCAAAGGGCTCCAATTCTACACCATTTTGCAGAATCGCTAGCAGGAGCATCAAGTATTAGAGCGTATGGACAGAAAGATCGTTTCAGAAAAGCAAACCTTGGTCTTGTTGACAACCACTCCAGGCCATGGTTCCATAACATTTCCGCAATGGAGTGGCTTTCTTTCAGGCTAAACATGCTATCCAACTTTGTCTTTGCCTTTTCTTTGACTCTGCTAGTGAGCCTCCCTGAAGGTTTTATAAACCCAAGTAAGCTCTATATGCAGATAGAGTCATGGATGATTACAGAAGGCTCAAGCTATCTTTTTTTTTGAACATTAAAGTCTCAAGCTATCTTACGTTTGATTATTGCCAAACTAATATGATTGTATATACAGGTATTGCTGGACTTGCAGTGACTTATGCATTGAACCTCAACTCACAGCTGGCATCCATAATTTGGAACATTTGCAACACAGAAAACAAAATGATATCAGTTGAAAGAATAATGCAGTACTCGAGGATCCCTAGTGAGGCTCCTCTCGTAGTTGACCACTACCGCCCACCAAACAGCTGGCCAGATGCCGGAACTATCAATATAAGATCCTTGGAGGTATGTGTAATACTATACTGAATTCTGACCCACTATAGGTGTAATAATTAAGTGTGCGTGTGTAAAGTTTTAGTCAGCAAACCCAAAAAATCTCTCATGGAGACTAATGTCTGAAATTGAACAATCGTTTGCTAAATCAAAGGTTAAATAACCTGCAGAAAGTGCTGCAAAGCAGAATTCATCTCAGGAACCTGCCAACTCGATGATATTTTGCAGTATATTTTACCAAAGAGGATAATAAGACTATATTTTTAAATATGAGATAAAAATAAAGAGCAGAAGTTCATGCTTTCTCATGCACAAAATAGGGCTATTCGATTACATAAACAAAAGTGGGAGTGCCACAGATTGTAAAAAATGAAGAAATATAAGACAAGAGTGACAGATATAGATACTGTAAAGCATGCAATTAACTGTGTTTTCTCTATGATGAGACATGACACATAAGAGTGGAAGTTTTTTTTTTTCAGAAGGAAACTTCTGATGTCATTAACCCTGATATATGCACTTTCTCAATTGCAGCCACCTAATGTTGTTGTTTGCTTTTATAGGTTCGATACGCAGAGCATCTCCCATCAGTTTTGAGAAACATATCATGCACAATTCCAGGAAGGAAGAAGGTGGGGATTGTAGGACGTACTGGTGGCGGAAAGTCAACTTTTATCCAAGCACTTTTCAGGATCGTTGAACCAAGGGGAGGAACAATCGAAATCGACAATGTTGACATCTTGAAAATAGGGCTGCATGATTTAAGAGGAAGACTAAGCATCATTCCGCAGGATCCAACAATGTTTGAGGGAACAGTTAGAGGGAATCTGGATCCCCTGAATGAGTACCCTGATCATCGTGTGTGGGAGGTAATTTAATGAACTACAGATACCATTATAAAGGAATCCCTTATTTAAGATGTCAAATAGAGAGGCGAAATCTTTGTAGCATTAGTCATTATTGCTCACACTTAATGTTCCACGTCACCAGAAAACAGGTTGTGGACGACAATATCTTTTGTGAATAAATTTTGGTAACAGCATTCATGGCTAAATCACCAAGCCCAGTGATTGTGCACTATGATGGTTTAAATGTGGCTCCTGGTGAAGTAGAAAAACACATGTAAAAGTGCACCTATTTTAGAGAACTATAGATGCAAAGCAGTGCCTCAGAGTTCTCTCATAATCTAAAACGGTAAAACCCTGATGTAATTTTTGTATAAAATTGTAATTTAATCAAAACTCAATCTGTAAAAAAGAAAAATACAAAAGTTATTATAAAATCATGATGACTAAGGTAAAGTGGTTTTTAGTTCTTCAAGCATATGATCAGGAATAATTTTTTTCTCCTTCTTTTGGACAGATTTTGGACAAATGCCAGCTTGGTGATATAGTTCGGCAAAACCCAAAGAAACTGGACTCCACAGGTAATGTATCTTTTGTGCACAGCCAAATATAAAAATTTAGGATGCAGGAATAGAAATTTCAATGGTTGATACTATAGCCCTTTCATAATGACACTGTCATTGAGATTATGAGATATTTCCTGCAGTTGTCGAGAATGGGGAAAATTGGAGTGTTGGGCAGAGGCAACTATTTTGCCTCGGAAGGGTTCTCCTAAAGCGAAGCAATGTTCTTGTTCTCGATGAGGCAACTGCTTCAGTTGACTCCTCCACTGATGCAATTATCCAAGAAACGATCCGCGAGGAATTCGGGAAATGCACGGTGTTGACAATAGCTCACAGAATCCACACCGTAATTGACAGTGATCTCATTCTTGTTTTCAGTGAAGGTAAGTCACGTGATTGAAGCACCAGTTCTCTATCTTTTACCCAGATGTAGCTGCTGGATTACTAATATATGTGTGCTTTAATGAATTATTGTGATGAGCAGGAAGAATTATAGAATATGACACACCCTCAAAATTACTGGAGAACGAGAGCTCTGAATTCTCCAGACTCATAAAGGAGTACTCACGGCGATCTCATGGCTTCAGTGGAACAGCAAACAGTTGAATGGCGACAAGAGAGTGAATCCAAGATGGTGAAAGTCGATACAGAAGTTGATTACCACACAATATATCTATATATGACAAGTACGCACCAAAACCACACGGCCAGGGTTTACAATGGAGGGTGCTTCCGTACTACTTACTCCAGCTCTTAGATTACGATGATTCAGAAAATTGGAGTGATGAAATGTACTATAGTTTACTGCAGATGCAGGACATAACTGAAATGGGGAAACGATAACTTGGTAGCTACTCCGTATAAATTGTGCACTAAAAACCAACTATAAAAGTTGGAGTAATTCACGCTTAACTGGATGAACAACTATTTGTTTAGTGGAGAACTTACATCCAGCGCACTGGGTGCGGCATTCCATCGAGCTTGTCTGTGGTGGGCGGCGCGCGCTCCGAGCCATGCCTGCACGCGGAGCTCCGTCGCCGTCGCGAGCTTACACCGATCAGGAAGGGACGCTTCGGATAGAAGCTAGATAGTAACAGGATGCGCTGTCGGCGCGACGCAGGCACATCGTCGTTCGCCGCTCGCTGTCCCATCCGCGGCTCCGCGCGCGCTCCTTCCCCACAAAATGCCGCGCATGCGCGCGACCCCGGAGCGAACGTCTGAGTCTGAGGGGAGGATTAGGTTGGTGCACGGCAGCACGGGCGAACTCTTGCCTTAGCCCTGAGCCCTGAAGCGCCGCCGCCGGAGCCCGGATGCAGGAGGTTCGTTGTCGAGACCGCTGCAACCGAAAGTTACAAACTAGTCCCTAATTGATTAATCGCGATCAAATATTTTACAAATAAGCACCTAATATTCTTTGCCATTATTGATTGTGGTACAATATTTTACACTTAAGACGAATATTTTACACTTAAGACCCTATATTTTGGATCGCCACAGAGACGAGCGGATCAGCTCGAGCCTCGAGGAGCTCCGCTGCGGCATGTCTTCGTCGTCTTCTCGGCGGACCACACGGCGGCGACCTGGTGGGAATGCGATGGTGGCGGCGTCTGATAAGACATTCCTTGCACACGCGGTTTGCTGCGCGCACTCCGTGTTGGCGCGTCCCGCCCGCCTGCCTGCGCCTGCGCCGATGATCCCGGCGTGCGGCGTCTAACATGAAGGATCGACATCATTTCACCGGCCTGCTCACAGCCTCACACTACTCTTTGGCCTCCATGAATGTCAGAAAAATCATCAGCACAATAACACATGTAAGCACAGACACAACATATTCAGACTTCAGAGCAAGCAAACGAATAGATCACCTCACAGTTAACGCTGCAAAGCATGTCCATGTCGACTGTCGTTTAACTGTATTACTGGTTATTACATATGTGAAGTATAGGAGAAGGACCATGGATCACAGCAAACTACTGCCTACATATCAAATGAACAACCAAAGGACGCAATTATATTCTCGGGGATCATTCACAGGCATTTTGTTTTTTATATAAAGCAGGAAATCGAAGACGCCGAAGGCTTATCATGCAGATCAAGGATTTCATTAGAACAGACAGACCCGATTTGTTCAGAACAGGCAAAACCATTAGCAACAGGAAACAGAAGTCAGCAGCAGGCTCCTCATGAACAGGTTAAAGAATCCTCAGGCTCAATTTTTCAGTCGTTCAATGATGCCATCACCCGTAGCAAAGTCATGAAGGAACCTGCAATAAATGAGATTGTTAGGATAGCCAGAAGAACAGACACTTCTAGCTCAGATTTCAGAACAGATCGGCAAGTTCAGTAGGTTCTTAGTAGTTAACATGTAACGTCTGGCTTGTCATTCTTCATGTTCATTCCATGTCCACAGTCACACATGCTTGATTGGTGTAGAAAGATCCCAGGTAGGGAAGCTCCAACACGTGCCAGACCAATCGTGACCCGATTAGCCGGCTGTTCAACATGCCAAGCTATGTACTCTCTCTGAGCCCATCCAGGAGGGATGTCAAACTCTGAAGATGCACCAACATCCTCCTCGTCATCATCCTTTCGACCATTATCCTCTTCTGTATCCTTTGAACCATCATCCTCACCCTTGTTGCACTTGCACTCAGGTACCTTGTCAGGAGCAGGTGCCTCGGTGGGTCTCATATCCATGTACCAATAGCTATGTGAAAATGAATCAAAAGCTCTTTCAGGTGGGCGAGCGATTCTGTTGCACCAGCGTATCACCATAAGATTGTCCCCCTCAATGATCAGCTTGAATACTGGTTCATGGAGGTCAATCATTTTTTGTAGCTCCATCTCAAGTGCCATGGCACTGGCCACAATCTGGGCCACGTCTCCTACGGGACCAGCATAGTACGAGAGCACCTCACCTTTGTCATTGTGGAATATGCCACCAATGCAGGCGGGACGGCCCTTGCAACAGCCAATTCCATGGAAATTGAGCTTGATCCAACCCTTGGGTGGAGGCGACCATGTAGTCCGTTTCATTGCTGGGAGACGGTGACGGAAAACAGGTCCCCATAATGGAGTATCATCATCCCAGCAATCACATGGATTTTCTCTGAATGGGCGTGATATTCGCTCTTCCAATTGCATACGGAGGGAAGCCACATGACTGAAACAATTGAGGAAGAACGATTAATGATTTTTTCCACTGAAACGGCTTCTTGGTCTAAAATTTTTAATCAGAATACAGTAACACAAAGCAAACACATGTTAAATAGCTAGACATTGGCCTCAAGCCTTCAAGGTTTACTCAAAAGAAAGGAATGAATTATATTCCACCTCCAACATGAAGTTAAGGTAGAATTTCTCCTTGAGTGTCAGCCCTGTAGAGTCAGATTCACCATTAAAAAAGAACACTAGGAAGAAACCAAGCATAAGCAGACGATCAGAAGCAGAAGAAATATATACTTGGCAATTTTGAGTATATGTCCATATCATCGTTTACTTCAACAAACTCCACCTTCAACTCACCAACACCATCTAATTCCTCATTGGATTTTCCCATAGCAATGGCTTCATGAATGTAATCCACGGTTGCCCACAGGAATCTGTCCCTTTCAAAAGCTAGGGAACCCCTACTGGTACATCCACGGTTCCAGTTTTCAAATGCACCATAAGCACTTTCCACACTGGACTTCAACCCATAGGAAACCAGAATCACCTTATTTAATTGTTTAGGAGAGAAGTTTGATTCCACAAGATTCCCTATGAATTTCAGACCTGGAACATAGAAAAGTGTTGGCTTCTCCACACTTCTTTGGCACTGCTCATTAACTAGAAGAACTCTTACTCCCAAGTCGAAGCAAGCCTTGACATCAGCTGGTGAGAGTGCCGGGTCACTGGAAATACCTTATCTTCCTTTAGAAGAAGAGCGAAAGCAAGCTGATACTGAGATCTCATGTCAAATTCAAAGCTCCTAAGGCCATAAATTACCAAATCCATGCATTCATGACTTCCCAACATGCTTGAGATATGATCTCCAATACTTGGATTTTCCTTAAGCTGATGAATGAACTTTGCGTACAGTGAAGAACTCCTAACATCCAGCATAGTTTCACGCACTTCTTTAACTATGCTCACCGCTTCCTTTAAGTCTTTATCCTCAATGTATGCATCATTAGGATTTAAATACCATCTAGTTTAATAAAAAAAACAGACCATGAATCAGTCAGTGAGGTTGTTAATGACAAATAGCAAATACAATTTACAATGAGAGATAGGACACGTTTACAGATTTACTATTACACAGTAATGCACTATGCTCTCTCTACAACAATATCTATATGCCTCATGTTTTACATGCAAATCGTAACAGAGAAATCAAATGTCTACTGGTACCTTTCAAGTCATTTTTAATTTCAGTTTTTTTTTCTGATCATTACCTTATACATTGTTGAAGAAAATAAGAACATGCACTTCTGGCTGCAGCAATATCGTGATCGGTGAAGCAAATATCACTCAAAGTTCAATAATAAAAGAGAGCCAATATTTCCATAACCAAATCTAGAGAAGCCCCAAAGTGAACAAACATAGATGATCTGAAGGAGCTCATCATGTAGCACACAAAGAGCACTTTCATTCCACAAACCCAAAATGTACCAGATTCTTGCATGTAGTATTTAAAAAAAAAATAAGTCATGGATTTTAGTGATCAAAGAGCAGGGGAACAAAATTGTTCCAAAGAATATTTCAGCAGTTATATGCAAATCATAACAGAAAAAATTGAATAGCTTGTAGAATGTAGACTATTAGCACTGCACTGCAGGTTAACTTCATCAGTGAAGAAAATAAGAACTTGCACTGCAGCAATATCATTATTGGTGAAGCAAATCTCACTCAGAGTTCAATAATACGAGTAAGCCAAAAGAAATCAATAACCAAATGTAGTGAAGCCACGAAATGAGCAAACAAATGATCAAAATCAGTTTAGCAATTAGTACACAGATCACATTTCAGACCAGAAAACTAATATTTATCCGTTTCTTGTGGTATGTGGTAACATTTTTTTACTTAAGTCATTGATACAACACCGGAAAAAACTGAACCAAAAAAATATTTCAGAGTGTAAACGATCTTAGCAGGTACTACATGATCTTACCCTGCTAACTGAGCATCACAGTTCATCTGGACGTTCACTGTGCTCCAAACCCTCTTAGGACAATTCACTGCAACAGAGAAAGAGGCAACAAGACATCAGATCCAACTACATAAAACCACAATTATGAACAATTGTACAGCAGAACCACCTGGCACAAGATGGTCCATGTCAATTTCAGGATCAAAGTGGAATACATGAACTGAAAAGGAGCTGGGAAGAGCACTAATCATGGCATGTCTCTCTATATTACCAATGCAGTGCATGCATCTGTACTCCTCCGGTGAATCGTTACAATCTTTTTTTGAAAGAAATGAATCGTCACAATCTTTGGCTAGTTCATCATCAGGACCATCATCTCCCCAGAGAGGGCTATCGAGCAAACCATCGATTTCTGAGCATAACTCAATCTCACGCACATAATCCCGAATTGCCATCACCCTCCTCACTTTCTCCCTCTGCTCGGTGACACCAAACTTCTCCTGCTTGGACATGCTGAGCTCAAGCATCCTGACCATGGTGCCAAAGCTGTGCCCAAGCAAGACAATCTTGCCGAGCTGATCCGCGTTCCAGTTCAAGGTGAGCAGGTTTTTGAAGAAGACATGGTCTGCTTATGGCATGAAGATGAGCGTCGGCCCGCGAACTGGCTGGCACTGCTGAACCGGCGCGATAACGCCGCAGCCCAACTCCTCCATGGCTCGGCGCTCCACGGGGGCCGCGGTCGGGCACACCACCTCGACGTTGCCGATCGCGTCGGGGAACGCGTCGCGAAGGAGGAGCAGCACAGCAAGGCGGAACCGTGGTGCCCAGCTGTACTGCGCGCCGCCGAGCCCGTAGGTCACGACGCGCGGACGCGCGCCAGTGCGTCGCGGAACGCGGCATCGGAGGCGAAGAGTCTGGACGACGCGGCCAGCTACATGGCGAGCCGCATGGAGGCCACGAGCCGCGCGTCGTCGCCCATCACGAACTCTTCCATGACTAGGCCGGCGACGAAGGAAAGGCGCCACCTGCTTGGCGAAACAAAGATCACAGCATGGAAAGGGCCTATATTTCAGCAAAGAAAACCCCATGATCGACGAAGACGACGAAAAAAAGGACGATTGATGGAAGGTTGATGTTTACCACGAACGACTAGCGCTTCCTGATCAGGCTCCATCGTCTTCTCTGCCACAGCGCCAGGATCTGGAGCGAAGAGAGAGAAAAAGAAAATCAGTTTCAGTGATGCCGTGGCACGACGATGGGTGGATTGATGTACGTATGCAACGCGCTCAGAGGAAGGGGGAGATAAGCAGATGGATCGATTACCAGGAGCAGGAGCGGGGGATGGTGAAGCCTTTGCCATGGAGTTGCTCATCGCGGCGGGGTGAGTAGGGTTTTAGGTGGGTTTTGCGGGTTGCTTCGCTCTATTGGGAGCCGGAAGAAAAGCAGCGTGGGGGACCGGGGAGGAGTGACTGAGAAAATATCGTTCCTATCACTGTAGGACTGATTTTAACTGATAAGCTCAAATTTAAATGGGACCTTTGTTGGTTGCTTGAGGTATAGTATAGGAAAAGGAAAAACTCATGAATTAAGATGGCATGCTTCTCTAATCCTGTGGGAATTGAAAACAAACGAACATAAGATGGCCTTTGGCAGGAGCTAAGGGGAAACACATGATTTTTCATCATAATAAGTTGTTTAATTTATTTGCTTAATTACTCATTTGGTAAGAATTTGTTTCAAGTGGGTCCATCAACAAGAAGCAAAGATTAGTACTAGTTGTTGGAGAAGGCTTTCTCGTTCGTGCATAGGATTTGTAGCAAGAGGTTTCGGTGGATACTAAAATTCCTATAAAATCATTCTGCATAGGGTAGATTTTCTATGAAATGCCAAGCATGAATCCTACAAACCAAGACCAGGAAAGGAAAGAATCCTCCATAAACAGTATTCATGTAAAAAATCCTTCGATCCAAATAAGCCCTAAGGTGTCTCTTGGTATCATCAGCTGGTAGAAGGTTCATAATTTCAGCCAAATTTCAACAAAATTTTGCGAATTTGGATAATTTTAGGGATGATCAGAAAGAAAAGTCTAAAAATTTATAGGGGGCTCTTGCATCCATACCCCTATTTTATATTGATATTGTGATTTTACCCCTGTTTTTTTTTAACTTTTGTGAACTTGTCCCTGCTTATTCAAAACGAAGCATCACTTTGCCCATATTTCGTCATCCTCCCCTAATAGTGTTAACTTTTGTACCAAAGGACAAATATGTCCTTGTGATTTTGCCCCTGATTTTTAGGGCTATTTGTGATTTTACCCCTAACTTGAAATAAGACACATATACTGTATTTAAAAAAAAATGGTTATTATATTTGGTCAATTCAGATTTAATATTGGAAAAATTATTCACAAATCACATGTTTGGATGTCTACAGTAGTCCTGTCTTGACTATGATAAAAAAAAGTTAGGAGCAAAATAACAAACGAAATCAACAAGTCAAGTCCATTGTTGCATTCCAGCGAACACCTTGCCTGCAGCCTGTGCTACTTGCCAATGCCATTCGCAGGTGCGTAGGCCGGGGGTGCCGCAGGCCGTGTGGAGGCGGCCGTCGTTGCGGAGCGAGTCCGGGAGCACGGAGAGGCCAAAGTCGGAGACCTTGAGGTTGCCGTTGCCATCGAGGAGGACGTTTTGAGGCTTGACGTCGCGGTGCGCGACGCCGCTGACAGTAGGAGAGCGCGACGACGAGCTGCACGAAGATGCGGCGCTCGGTGTGCTCGGGGGCGGCGCCAGCGCGGGCGCCAGGCGAGCCTGGACAGTAGGTCCCCGCCCGTCGCGAGCTCCATGATGAGGTAGATCTTGGCGCGCGTGGCGAGCACCTCATGGAGGCGGAGCACGTTGGGGTGGCGCAGCCGGCGCATGGCCGTCACCTCCCGGAGCACGCGCGGCGCCATGCCCGCCGTGCCCATGACCTCAGCCTTGTCGAACACCTTCACCGCCACGGCCACGCGAGGTAGACCTTGGCGAACGTCCCTCGTCCCAGCAAACTACCTAGCTCGTACTTGCCAAGCAGGCTCTTGCTCTTCTTGTTGGTCCCCTTGCTCTTGCTGTCCATGGCGTCCATGGGCGACAGCAACAGCGAGGCAAGCAGAGCACCGCAAGGTTGGCGCTCATCTTAGTGTTATGGCAATGAGTTGGGCGGCGTCATTAGGTGAAAATATATGTTGGGTTGGTGCCGTTTTATATGGGCACAGTTGCGTGCCTGTGCCCCGCCCAGCTGCACGCCCGCCGGCCATGCCGCAATGCCAGCCCAGCCGCGCCCTCGACGCGGCCACCAGCACTCCACCACAGCTTTTGCTTTGCTTGCCAGCTTTACCAGGCGCTGCGCTTTCCGCCACCAGCAACACGCCCATCGGCCATGCCATGACGCCCGCCCAGCCAAGCGCCCGTCGCAGCCGCCCAACACCACCGCCATGAGCCCGCCACACCAGCCCCGCCGGCCGTGCCTCCCCGTCGATGTCGCGCGCCCTGCCCAATAGGCACGGCAAAAACACCATTTTCCCAAATTTATATTACACAAATACATATGTTATATAACTCTAGGCTCATATATTTATATTGTTTATTTATGTACTCCACACAATATAGATCGTAGTCCTAAATCATACTAATATTTTATTTACATCTAACATTTTTAGAAAAATCATACTTTATGTTTAAGTCTAAAAATTGACGAAATTCGACATAATTTCAGGACTTTCAGTGGTGATAGAAAAAATGACCAAAATTTTAAAACTGATCCGCTCTTTCATATATATGCAGTTTGTTTTATAAGTTGTACAATAATGCCATCTCACATTCATTTTCGAAAAAATGACCAAAATTGAAAAACTGACCCGCTCGTTCATATATATGTCTTTCATTTTCAATTTATATGCTCCCTCCATCTCAAATACTCCTAGAATGGAACTCTCGCTTCATGAGAAACCAAACAATCCCAAATTTACCACGCAATACGCCTGTTCATCATGTTAAAAAAAACAGAAATACTATACAACACACATGTGTTTTAGCATAAAAAAAAAACATTGATTTTTTTTATCTCTCTCCCTCTCTCTTTCCCTTCCCTCTCTCCTTCCTCCTCTCTCGTCGGCGAAGGAGGCGGGCGCCATTATCCCCATCCCGGCACCAGCGCCGACCATGTGGTGGTGGTGCATCCCGGGCGGGCCGACGGGCGACGCGGCTCAGGAAGCCGCCGTGGTCGAAACCGGCGCCAGCAGCGGCGGCACCGTAGTGGTGGGCGAGCGGGCGCGCGGCGGCGGGGTGGTGGAAGTGGCCGATCTGTGGCGTGTGGTGCTGGTGATGTTGGTGGTGGTGCGCGGCGCCACCCATGGGGGAGAAGGGCGGGTAGGTGTCGATGGGCGCGCAGTGGCCGTGGCCAGGCGGGAGGAAGGGGACGGGTCACTGACCGTCTTTTTGTCCTACTATAGAAAAAAATTATGATATGTGATTTGTGATGTGAGATCTGTGGAGGCTGGAGGTGGAAGAATGGTGGAGGCTAATGGATCTTAATTCTATGATATAAAAAAATTGTTGAAACTGCATAAAACACATGGTGGTTAAATAGACATACTCTTAAAAAAAAAGATCGATAGAGACATACAGTTGCGTGCCTCCTGCACTCCGACTATAGTATAGACTTACAATTTGGGATGGAGGGAGTAGAAATTTAAACTTGACAGACACGGGATACACAGACTCAGATCTTACAGCGCGTGAACACGGCCGTCAGAACATGCGCCGGAACGCTTGCCTCTTCTTAGATCGCCTGTGCTGACGTTTGGCCAGCGGCGGAAACCAAGTTGCCGCTGTCACGGTGTCGCCGCGCTGGTGCCGGGCGCGGCCCGCATTGGCACCGTCGAGGCCAGCGAAGCATGCGGTCGAGCTGGCGTTGCCGTCGTCGGCGGCGAGGGACGCGAAGCGCTGCGAAGAGAGCAGCACGGACCACTTGAGGCACACGGCACAGCAGGCAGCGATGGACCTGGGCGACAGCCGCTGGAAGACGTTCGCCAAGACCTCGTTCGACGCCGGGCCCTGGGACCTCGTGGCCTCACGTCGCCTCGACAGCTTCCTCCACAGCAGGTTGAGCCCGGTAATCCACTCCACGATACGACGGTCGGCGTGAGGTCCGCATAGGAGATCGCGCCTCGGTGGTGGTGCCGCCGCCGTCGTCATTGCCATGCCGGTCGATCTCGAGAGCGGCTGGAAACTCCGGATCCGGGGGATTCCTCTGCATTATGGCTTGTAGTTGTGCATCTAGATGACCTCTGGAGTCTGGGCGTATCCAGGCAGGACTCACCACGGCTGTAAACGTAAAACTGAGGCAGGATTCATGCATGCTAACACACACAACAACGGCGGTTTCACCTATGCCATTGAAACTCTGCTTGCCATCGCATTCCAATCCAGCCACGTGACGGCATTCAAATACAGGTTAACCGTAAACCATCCGGACTTCAAGCAGCGCCTTATGAGTCATGTTATTATATACTATATCTTATTATACACGACTAAGACTATCAATGAACGGATTTTTTTTTAAAAAAAACTATCAATGCACGGCAAACACTGGGTTTTCCTTCACACTCGTGATTTTGCATTACATTTTTTTTTCCTTTGTGAAGCAACGTTGTTACAGCGTTAGCACTAGACATAACTCATCTCAAAAACACCTGAGAAAATGCTCTGAGTGACTACAATGTCCCCGCAGCTGGTACCAACTGCACTGCACTTCGTAGCATACAAGGCGAACCTCATTTTCTTTGGACAGTGAAGTGGAAGCCCATGGGTTCTCGATATTCACCCGTTCCATGGCACCGGAGGCAGTAATCCAGTCCATTACCACCACAAATTCGACACCTGAGAAAGAGTGGTGAGTTTAGCAGTTAGCACAATCATGGGGGGAGACTACTAACTAAGACTCAATTGTGTGTCTCACCATTGTGGCCATTCGCCCTTTGGAAGCATGACCAGATCGGCATGGTTTGTTCTTCCTGTAAATCCCAGACCAAATTTTGATGAGAGAAAACATCATGCCGACGAATGATTGCAGTACAGCAGCATATCACAAAATAATACTGCGATGGACTAAAAGAGACCTCGACCAAAGCAGTTTCGGCAGTCTATTCTCCCTGTGCCTTTGCAGATGGTGCAAGGAGGATCGGGTCGTTTTGGTCTCTCCCTCCTAACGTTTGACTGCAACCATAATTTCAATTAGCACATCAAAAACAAATGTACATAACACCAGTTTAAGTTGTGGTCTTTGTCGGTCTATAAAGGTGAAGATATCCTAGATTTCCTTTTTTAGAGTCAATAGGGGAAAGACTCCCCACCTGATATTCCATTAAAATGGGGGATGGCCCTAGTCAGCCCAGCGTTGGATATTAAAAGCAGCAGTGACATTTTTCCAAGCCAGAGTTTTTCTTTCTAGGAGATTCTTACACTGGGGATAAAGAGATACAGCAGGACTCAACAACTCCAATGTCGCCGTGTGGTAACCGGCAACCCCACAGCCTTGTGACTTCACAGATCTAGATGTGGCAGAAAAATACAACTATACAGCGATAGTTAGCGGATATGGGCACTGACAGGTGAAGAGTATGGGGCCTAAAAAAAAAACTAAACTAGTACGGAGCATTTCCCAACCTCAATTATTTGGCACATATGCAATGAATTAGAGACCAGGTGCAGAGGTTAATTTAGTACAGACTAATTTCTCTACACAAAATGAAGCCTGAGGACTAACTGTTCTCCGGAGCCAGTTGAACTAAACTGAAGACATGGTTTTTGTTAAAACACAGGCTTGTATATTCACCTCCTTTTAGCTCTGAACCCCAAGGGACATACAGGCATTGACAGTATGACAGGCAAAGAGCAAGGGGAATTTCCCCAACTTGATTATTTGGCAAATATGCAATGAAATGGTGCCCCTCAAGTGCAGAGGTTAATTTGGTACACAAGAGTTCATCCTAAAGAAAAATGCAGATGCTGCCCCAATTTATAAGAGTACTGCAGAATTCAGGAAACCCAGGAATCACTAAGCACTGGAGTTTGTTAAACAAGCTAAACTATGGACTTGACTTGTTTAATTGTCTGAAAACAGGCTGCTGTATATTCACCTTCATATTCCTCTTTGTACAATCTAATTTCATTTAGCCTCTCCCTCTCCTATGTACTTTGTTTTTATTCAGTGAAAAGCTGTAAAAACAACACGATTATGTTCAATCAAGATGTGGAATTGTGTTCAATAAAAAAAACACCCCGATTCGAAATAAAATTATGTTCAATCAAAAGAAGCATTGCAACAAGAGCAAAGCGTCTGATTTCTATAGCTATAAAAAGCAGTTGAATTATCAGAGCATTTGTTTTTAAGAGTGTACAATGCATAGTAGCACAAAAAGTGCCTGATCGACTGCATAAACAATCAGCAGCGGTCAATTGACACAATCACCCCGAGTTTCAGGTTAGTTAACAAAGCTGCAACAACCAAATATGAAATTTTCGTGCTGTTAAGTCCACCTCCACCTCCACCGACACTTTTTCTGGATGTAATTTTGGATTCTAGCTGTTTGTGCAGCACACAAACTAATTACGAAACGCCTTGCTCCCAGTCTGTGCAGCAACAGGATAACAGGAAGCTACGGCAACCAAGGCTCAGCTACGTCTCCCCCACCTAACAGGTATTCGACGAATTGCAGACGAGAACAGAACTGAACAAGACAAATGGGAGAGACCAAAATACCTCAGTGCGGACGATCCACGACGGCTTCGATACGCCCAGCCGCCGCGGGGCGCCTTCAACCCCGGCGAGTGAGCTCGAGGGAGCCTGAGCCGGCGACCCCAGGCAACCGGGGCCGGTCCCCGGCGCCGCAGCCATGGGCGGCGACTGGCCAATAGCTGCGGGTGCGAATAATGGGTTCTGGAGTCTGGACTGTTCGTTCGTCCCGAAACTGAATTTTCTTCAAGTTATTATCCTTGCAATAGCGACTGGGGCCGGTCTGCGTGGGCCCTGGACGATTTACAAAAGATGCCCGAATTTGATCAACCGAAAGAAAAAAAAGGATTAACTCCAGAGCCTTTATTTCAAAAACATATACTAACCTCATTATCCAAAAAAACATACTAACCTCCGTCCAAAAAAAATCCTAGATTTAGACTAAATAAAAAAATTATAATTTGAATAAATTTATAGAAAATATTACCAATATTTATATTATATGTCCAAATGCATTCTTATTATGCATGATTCATCAAATGGTTCTTATTATGCATCATACTCTCTACGTTCTCTTTTATAAGATAGTTTGGCATGTCACTATCTCTCAAATTACACTTTGACCGCTTATTTATTTATATTGTTTGTACTTATAAATTTATGAGTTAAATACATAATAAGTCCATTGCCTTTTGGCTACAATTTTGGATCCTAAACCTTTTAAGTGATAAACTAGAGGTCCATGCTCCTTAGGTTTTGATCTGACATGGCGTGTAGACTCAACATCTAGTGTGCCCTGTAAATTGTAATTAGCCTGTTTCCTCTCTCTAGTACACTCCACCGCACGCCCGCCCATTCCCTGCGCCCCGCTGGATGTTGAGGAAACGAGCTAATTACAATTCACATGCCACATTGGATACTAAGCGTAAATTAGGGATATGGATCTCGGGTGAGTCAATTTCAAAGTTTATAGACCTAGATGACATATAGGCAAAAGTTAATAGATATATGATGCATTTAACTCTCTTTATAATAATTGGATAAAACATTTAATTTCAAGTCTAACCTTATCAAGTTTATATTATAATAACTAAAAATTGTAGCCAAATTATTGATAAAAATTTGTAAAGTTTTAATTGTGTACCTTATAAAAGAGAGAATTGTGATGTTAAATATTACTCCCTCCATTCCTGCATAAATCAAATTTTAGAGTTATCTTTCAAAAATCAATTTCTAGAGTTGTCTTACATCAAATATTTTTTTTAGTTTTATCAAATTTTATTGAAAAACACGAAGAATTATAACACTAAATTAGTATAATTAGATACACCATAAAATATTTTTTATAATATGTTTATTTGGTACTATAAATATTAATGATCTTTTCTAAAAATTTGGTCAATTAAAGAAGTCTATTTAGGACAACTCTAGAATTGATTTATTCAGAACAAATGTAGTCATATATTTTTATATATATGTAGTCAACTTCGAAATTCATTGACTTCTGGAAAAATGATAATGCTACTTTTTTTAGACGGAGGAAGTAGGTAACATTTGCAGTTAGCATCTTATTTTAGCACGCGGATATACCATCGAGATAAAAAAAACACCACCCTGTTACTATAGATGTTTATAAGACCTGAGACACATAGGCATGCCCAATAGAACTATGTTTATAAGGCCCGAGATCCATGGGCATGTGACCATTGAACTATTTTGTATTATCTCAATATTTATTATTATAATATAGAGTTTCCACGTATATATAGTCTAAATAAGGACCAAGAGTTTAGTAAAAACTATAAAAAATAGACAAGGATTATGATTCCTCATCCTCAAAAGCGGAACCAGAAGAAAGACTTAGGGGGGGGGGGGGGAGACGAAGATAAGCCATGGAGATAACACACTCCTTCACTTAGAAATAATTGCTGCTGCAATGGCTGCAGTAGGTGTATTCAAGATAATTTTAGGTGTTAGGGGAAGGGGCCATGGCCCCTGCTAGCCCCCCTAGTTCCGCCACTGGTCATCCTCTCTTTTCCTTACAAGTTAGAGCCCTTGTGTTTTACAATACTGCCCCTTAAGCAATTACCACAATATCACATGCCTCAATAAAACTCCAACCAAAAAAACCAATGACAAAAATAGTTTTAGAAAAAATAGTACATCGCATTCGCAAGTTGTATCGCACATGCTGCCTTATTAAAAAATTTATGTGAGAAACCTTGATGTAAAAACTCACAGGGAAAAAGAGCAACACTTAACCTTGGTCATTAAAGGATCTTCTATTCTTCATGAACAAATATTGATTTTCATCATTGATACATAAACTTCTATGTTTTAGCAAATATGATATAATTGATCTTTATAAAATTAGTGGTTTACCTTCAAGGTGACTCGGTCAAATATCCTCCCTCTCATAAAGCCATCCTCACGGGTGGGTGCAACAACACCTCCTCCAGCTAGGGATGGTGTCCGATCATGGAGCTGCAGGTGGAAGAAATCATCGACGACGAAATTGAGGCTCCCGAAATGGAGGACCTAGCCTGGAGAGGATGTGGGCATGAGCCTGAGCTCTTTGTCGGTGCCGACGGTGAACTCTAGATCCCTGAAGTGGATGCTTCCGCCTGCAGTGAGACCACCAACGGGGTTAGCGAATGGGGCCATTTGAAGCTTGATGATGTTAGAATAACGCGAAACAAGCCCCTACCCGGGGCGCCAATTGTCGGTGTTTCATACCGTTGACTAGTAAATTTGTGATCTGTGTGTATGGTCGGATGGCTTAACACTTGAGAACACATGATTTATCTTGGCTCGAGCAAACTATCATCATCTTGTCCAAGGGCGTGGAGGAGATCATAGGAGCGGTGATGATTGGATCTAGGTGGCTAGAGGGTGGTGAATAACCTATAAATATTTTATACAAACTTCACAAACACTAGTGCAAAGGTGATTAGTAAAATAACAAGCCCCAAAAGCCACTACTTAGCACTAGCTCTATTTCACTCCAAGCAAGCTCGTACACAAGTCTAGTAGCTTTGGATACCTAATCTAGAGCACCACACCTCATAAGTAGCTACACAAGCTAAACTAGAGAGCTACTAGTTACTACTATGACAAAAACTACACTACTCTAGCTAGCCGTTCAAGCAACTACCACACAAACAAGCAATAGATAGTGCATAGCAATATACTGAATCGGGCAAGAGATGTACACAACATTTATCATAGTGGTTCAGTTGCTTGTTGGCAACCTATGTTGATGTTGTGGCGAGTCCCCAAGTGATGATTCATGTGCTAACTATGCTAACTAGCCACTCAAGCTAGACACAACTTGGGTGCCGCATGAATCAAGCACATGGTGCACTCCAACTAGCCACAAGCATTCCACTAAAGTTGTTCTTCGTGATCTCCCGCTTGGACAAATATCAGAGGGCCAAATATCACACTGCTAAAAACACACCTCTATGAACAATGCCTCCTTATAGATCGGTGCCTATTAGAGGGCAACCACCGGACTAATTAGGTGGGTAATCCTAGCCACTGTTAAGTCCCCACCGCGCATCTTATAGTCCAGTGACTTCCCCTAGGGGGCACCAGATGAATCCGGTGAGTGCTAAAATCAGCAATAAGTCACAAACAACACAAGCGATTTGAATATGCTAACTCCAATATGTTCCAATTTGAAAAACATCACCTTAGGCATCGAGTTAGATTTTTAAAAATATTATTCACTTGCATCTCATTGCGTCACTAGGTCTAATGCATATGCAAAGTCATTTCACACCTAGTAGCACTTAGACAACCGATTAAGCATAAGAGTTCTCCTCTTAATTGTACAACTATTTATCCTAATCCCAACCATGCACTCTATTATGTCTCGGCCGGTGAAAACAAAACCCTATCGTATACCTTTTGTCTTCGAGCTTCTTTCCACCTCTCCATCTTCTCCAATTGTGAGATTGCTCCATTTGAATTGATCATCCTTTATCCATCTCCAAGCCTTTCTCACCACCTTGGTGTGGACCTAAACTAGCTTAATCAACACTTATCAAAAGGTTAGTCCACTAGTTATCTCAATTACCAAAACTAAGCATAGAGCTTTCAGGCAGTTGCGGTTAACCTGTGACCATGTTGTTGTTGGTAGAATAAGGTATCTAGAGTGGCAAGCAAGGTCTATCTCGTCTCCCAGCTTCTCATAGGATTGTCACATGGGTGCAGCCACGAGGTAGGTGTGGGACTAATGGGAGACAGAGGAGGGAGTGGACATGGATGAGATGGGTGAGGGAGGTTTTTCTACAAGTTTCACCTAGCCTCGTCCATGCTGGCACATCTATGTAGGGATATAGATATGATGTGGTGGGATTTAGAACTCTACTCAGGCGTGACATTAGTTGAAGGAGCTACATGATCACTTTTTTAGTTGAAGAACCCAGTGAGAATCCACAGTAGATTCATCACCCAGATGGTCACTTTTTTTAGTTTGAGGACTCATGAGAGAATCCATGAACAGTTAAGGACTCATGGTGCATTTTACTCAAAAATAAATGTAATAGGCATATACTCCCTCTATTATAAATTATAAGGTTTTTAGTTTTTTTAATCTAGATACATAAGTATTGATATTTATCTAGACAGTGTATCTATATCTATCTCTCTTATAAAACTAATCCCCACTACAAGTTCTATCTCAACACGCAAGTCATCCACATCATCTCTCACTAATAGCAATGTCATCCCACTAATTATATCACTAACCTATTAATGCAAGCCATCCACGTCATCTCCACCAAGCATAATTATTATTTTTAATATACTAGAATACTATTGCTATTTGTGTTGCGGTTCCATGCATCATCTTATAATTCAATCGAATTCTATTAGTTTTTTTATTGGATGATTTCATTGTATTGCTAAATTTTGATAAGAATGGATATAAGAACATACAGGTTTAACTCATACTCTCTCTATCCCTGAATAATTAGATTTCTAATATAAAAATTTGTCTACAAATTAATCAATATCTACGAGATTAAGCGTGCGTTTGGTTTTGGGACTACTAGGGATGGGTTGGACCCAGCCCAGATTTTTGGGATGGGATGAACCCATCTCATGTTTGATTTACAAGGATAGATCCATTCCAGTTCTCTGTTTGGTTTTGAAGG